GACCCTCCCAGGATTCCCCATGTGGCCCGTTTTGGATGCAGGGAAGTGCAGGGCACCCGCGGAGGCTTGGGGAGGGTGAAAAACGGGCCTCCTGGAAGGCCGGAAATGGGCCTGTTTCCGGCTTCCAGAGAGCCTCCGGAGCCCAAGGAGGCCGTTTTCGCCCTCCCAGCGGCTTGAGGAAAGCCTCAGGAGCCCGAGCAGGGCAACACCCCCGCTGTGACGCAGGAGGCCAGCTAGGCCACACCCACCATGGCCACGCCCACCCAGCAACCAGGCAGAGAACCCTTGGCTAAAATTTTTGAAGCCCACCCCTGGTTGCAATGTCCTAGGGCATCCAGAAGGCAATGCGTGCCTCCCCACGCCTCCTAAGCATGTGTGCGCAATCCCACCCATTCCCCTGCCGTCCCCTTACCTGCACTATGCCCCACAGCTGATTTTGGGCAGGTTTGAGGCCTTTTTCGGCCTCCCAGAGGCTTGAGGAAGGCTTCTGCAGGCTTTTCAGGATGAAAACTAGGCCCATTTCGTCATTTCCAGTATTTCTGGAAAAACAGGAAGTGACGTAACGGGCCTAGTTTTCGGCCTGCAGAAGCCTGCAGAAGCCTTCCTGAAGCCTCCGGGAGGCCGAAAAAGCCCTCAAACCTGCCGAAAATCAGCTGTGAGGCGCGCGCATGCCCAGTGAGGTAAGTTGGCCTGCAGCTCGCATGCCGGCATCAATGGCTCTGCGTGCCACCTCAGGCATGCGTGCCATTAGGTTCGCCGTCACGGTCCTTGGGTTACGTGAACCCCTTTTGTGACCTGTTTTATGGACAAAGTCCATAGTTGTCCCAAAGGGGCTTTTTCACAAGGCAACTGGACTTTGTTTTCCTTGAAGACGTTTCGCTTCTCACTGAAAAAGCTTCTTCAGTTCTGATTGAATGTGGAGGATTTCTATTCCTTGCATTGGTCTGGTCGTTAGTACTCTTTTCTGAGAGTCGTTGAGGCCACTTGGAGGTTGGAGGGCAGAGATAAACCTCCAAGTGGCCTCGATGATTCTCAGAAAGAGTACTAACAACCAGATGACTGCAAGGAATATAAATCCTTCCGTCCTCTCCATTTGGTCAGAACTGAAGAAGCTTCTTGGATGAGAAGTGAACCGTCTTCAGGGAAAAATGAAGTCCTTGTGAAAAAAATATGAATTTTTTGTGAAAAAAAATATGAATTTAAATATGAACAACTTGGCAAGTATCTGAATTTTAATCAGGAAGAGTGTGAAAAAAGTCCCTTTTTAACGTTCCATTGTTAACTTTGACCGGTCACTAAATGAATTGCTGTAAATTGAGGTCTACTTGTATTCTGTTCTGAGATTTCTGAGGCATCCTTTCTCTCCTCCTTGGGCTTCATTTTGGGGTTATAACCCCCAAATATTCGCGTTCTGCTTTCTGTTCCCCAACCTGCAGGCTGATTACAAAATCAGAGATGCTCTTGGGAATCAGCCGTTGCACCGAGCTGCGATCACGGGACAGGACGATGGGCTTCGGTTCCTTGTGTCTGATCTTGGGGTTGAGGTCGACGAAGGCGCCACTGACCTCGGTCTCACTGCCCTGCATTACGCGGCAAAGGTACCTGCCCTTTTTCATTG